TTCTTTTAGTATGTCTGAACATGTCTGCACAGTACCGGGTATTACTTTTAATGGTTCAGATATTATTGACCATCCTAAACATACATTAATAATATAAAACAAGTTTTAAGTGGCTTTAWATTATAATTGATAAATCCTTTTAATGGAAATCATTCAATCTGCTATAGCAAAAATAAAAAATAATAATAATTACCAGGTAATTTAAACAGAAAATGATCAGCTACAGTATGCACTAATTTTGCCTTTATCAAATATATTCTAGAAATCATGTAATACAAATCAATAGGAATAGCACCATGATAATACACTAACAAAGCTGGACTGTCAATAGGTACATTTTCAATGCCATTTACTTCATATCCTAAAAAAATAAATTATACATTTAAATTGATAATGAAATATGTTTTAAAGTTTGAAATTAATTACCATGCCATATCCAACCATGGGCATCCCATAATGCAGCTACAGTTTTTAATGCACCATCCCAAAAGTTATTTTCATATGCATTTATAAGTCTTTCCCTAAAATAATACAATGCATCACAATTAAAAAATTTTTTTTATTAGAATTAAGGCTTCAACTACTAAGGTTATTAGCTTGGTACTTGGTATTTGTATGTGAGGGGGGGGCAATTATATGTATGGTAATGATTTGTTGCTAAAACCCTGGGCGGTCACCCATTCAAACAATTTACTGAAAATATTTAAATTTGATGATATTTTCAAGTCACTTCTAGTCACCTACAGAGGACTAACTTTGTTTTAATATTTATCATTGTTAATTCAAATTGTCGATAAAAATTAGTTAAATTTATCTACTAAATACTATGAAATATGTTTTAAAATCATAATCAAAATATGTATTATAAGGCTATATGATTAGGTTGATTTCTTTCAATTTTTGAACTAATGGAGCGCAAATTTGCTATGCACTTTTAGGACAAACACAAAACACAACAAATGGCTGCATAGTGTCTTCTTAATATCACTATAAACATTGTATGATCATCTATATGATTTCATTTAAATTCTTTTTAAWTGTATTTTATACACCTACTATATTATTCAAATACCATTGTACCATTGTTTAAAATTACAAGTTATAATTTACATTACCTGACAATCTTAAATAAGTGAGTTTTCTAGGGGCCCTGTAAGTATATGGATATTTAATACTATAAAATCATAGTAAAAAATAATGATTGGTATAATATACCTAATACCWATTTCCTTTTTAAATTTATACTAGATAGTAYTTTTTCCTATAAAATTATATTAACTTTTCATTTTGTGATTTTTTCAAGGATACATTGTAATAATAAACATGATATATGAATATAACCTATAATATAACTCATGTGTAATTAGTATGGATTTCCAGAACCAACTAGCAATAATTTAAACATTTTAATTATGGTTCACAGTATCTGTGTATTGTATCAATGTAATCAGGTGAATCATTACATAATTGTAGCATATCTAAGATTTTATTATTTTCACTGAATATTATTTGAGCTTTAACCTTACAGWCAACATAAAGCAATATTTTTAAATTGTACCTACCATATAAATCTCCTCTTATCTTATTAAGTAGGTATTAAGTTTATAGTTTACTAACTATTTTATAAAAATATCAATTAAATTATGAAGTATAATGTATCAAAAAAGTTATTAATTAGACAAATAAACATGTTAAAAAACAAATGATCTAAGAATAGTAATAAATGAATAAATGTGTGGTGCATCTGAATGTCAGCCAATTTTCAATAGCGTATTATGAGAATTTTCAATTTTTTACAATCAGGCCACCATTTTTTCTTATTGCTTTGTGTTAGTTTCATATGATAATAATTAAACGATGTAGTTCACACTTAAAATTTAAATATACCTAATTTAACACCCAAAGTTTTATCCTACCTAGATAGCATATACAACTCAGCCATGCGAMAYGKCATCTTCYGTCACTTGGAAACATACAATAATAATTCCACTATTCCAGTACATAAACCAGGAAAATCGGCCCACTCCCCATAAAGCTACAGACTAATTAGCCTTCTTCCATTATTATCATAACTCTATGAAAGGATACTGCTCAATAGACTAAAATCATTCACACACATCATTTTGAAACATAAATTTGGATTCAAAACGCATCACTCTACATGTCATCAAATCCAACAAATCTCTGAATTAATTTTAAATGGCTTTGAAAACAATATATAACAGCTGTCTTTCTCGACGTAACATAAGCCTTAAACAAGGTATGGCACTATGGTATGGACTTGAACAAATATTGAACACTCAGCCCTTCCCAAATATTTGTTAAAACCCATAATCTCTTTGATATYGTATTGAATGTTTCAAGTCAGAATTGGAACCAACTTTTTCAACTTTACAATATACAAGCCGGAGTCCCCCAAGGCTCAGTTCTAGGCCCTACTTTATTCAACATCTACTGCTATGACATACCAATTCCCTCAAACTCAAAGCTGGCGATGTTTGCGGATGACACAACAATAATAACCCAAAGCAACTTCCTATAAYCTTCAATTCAAAATCTTCAAACAGCTCTAAACACAGTAATCACCCGGTTCAAAATATGGAAACTAAACCTCAATCCAACAAAAAGCACAGCAAAAATATTTCYCCAAAAACGATACAGATCCTTAACACATTTACATTGATAACCAACTAATACAATGGGGCAATAAAGATACTCTGTCAAGTACCTTGGAGTGTTTTTAGACAAAAAACTGACATGGAAAATTTATATAAATAAAAAACTCACTCAAGGCTATGCTAGAATGAACACGCTATATCCATTAGTTAACTTTAA